AATGATAATAATTCTATATTTATTTTTCTGTCTCCCCCAGGGTCTTGCTGTCAACCCATAGCCAGCCAGGGCCCATTCTCCCTACCCAGCCTCTCCACACCACTCAACCCTCCTGGACCACGTTTTCGGGTGTGTTCTCTCTGGGCTGTCCTCCTCCATGTCAGATCACTCTGTGTCCCAGTTAGGACCTGGCCCTAATGGCGGCCCCATGCTTTACCCTGCCATTCACATCTGCCAAAGACACACAGTGAAAACAATGTCCATAATATCTTTCTACCTATGTGCGTTTGTCCCATCTTTCACAATTCCTTATGCTACCTGACACCAGTGACAGAAGTCTTTGCTCATGTAAATGGACATAATTTTTCTGTTTTCAATGCAGGGACCACTTTCCCTGGGTTATCTCATCTCCGACCAAGGCCTTAAATACCATCCATGTGAAAACGCCTCTCAAAGCAGTTCCTTCAGGCTAGACCTTTGTCCTGGGTGTTACAGAGATATGCTCAACTGTCTGCTAGATAGCTATATTTGTTTTACTGGAGATTTAGATGACATATTTTTACTTTCTCTTTTTAGAACCGAAGGACTTTGAGAAATAATTCTGGATTTCGTATACTAAATGATGACCCCTTCGCTTTCAGTCCAGGGACAAATCTGCATCATTCTTTGACTTTCCAGACTAACCCACCTGGCCACCCTCCCTCAGGAGGAAAGGCAGAGCAGAGCTCCTGTCAGCAGCCCTCAGCCTACTATGCTGGAGATGCGGTGCCTTGCCCCAGGTCTGATAGCCACTAAGGATGCAAACTCAGGCAGCGGGCCTCCAGAGGCCACACCTACCCACCAGAGGGGGTCAAATAAAGAGAGCGGTGGTCTTGAGCAGTGTGTCCTCACTCCAGCAGCTCACAGCCAAGGAGAGGAGAAGTGATGACATGCAACAGAATGTACCTGGGGCCAGGTACTGCAGGATGCCCAGGGAGCTGGGGTGGGGGTTGGGGGAGAACACGCGACTTATGGGAAGTGGGATGAAGAGATTGGCTTCACAGAGAGGATGATGATGAAACTGGGTCTCGAAGGCTGAGTAGGAGTCTGCGGGTGGGGTTTGGGGAGGTGGTGGGGAGGGCGTTCCAAGCAGAGGGAGCTGCCTGGGGAAAAGCCCAGAGGCATCAAACCAGTAGAGGGTTTCATGAATTGCAGTAGTTCCCTGAGGTTGGAGCAGAAATTCTAAGGAGTAAGATGACAAGAGTGATGAGAAAGTCAGAGAGCAGCTCATGCAGGACCTTGGATGCCGCCTAAAGAATATGCGCTTTATCCCGCAGTCAGAGGAGAGCCTTGGAAAACACAATCGGTTTGGCGTCTGGAAGGAAGACTTAGGCTGCGGTGACAAGATGTACCAGAGGACACAAGACTGAAGTGGAGAATAGGGAAGGCATAGAGCAGGGGTCCGAGCTGGAGAAGGGTTCATCTCGACCAAGCAAGGGCAGTGGGGATGAAAGCGAAAGGAGTTGGGAAAGAGATAGGATTGACTGAACTGGGTCCTACATTTGATGGGGTTGAGGAGAGGGGAAGGGAGATGACTCCCAGACAGAGGGACCATATGTGCAAAGATAAGAGAGATCTGAAAGGTCATTGCCATGGTTGATGAAGGGAGAGCAACTGTGCCAAAGAGTAGGCTGTGTGAGGGGGATTAGCTTGCAGATATAAGTGGGGACCTGCATCAGGGAGTTATTAACAAATATATGTGGTCAATTGGATCATTATTCTTGAGTATCATTCCCTGCCAATCAGCGGAGTATATATTTCTGCCCCACTGCTTTTGGATTTGGTCAAATGACTGGCTTTGTTTTGACCAGTGGAATGTGGGTAAAGTGACTGTGCCAGTTCAGAGTGGGGGCTTGAAGAGGAATCATGTCACCTCTTTCTCCAGCTCTCACCACAAAAATAACACGTACCAGATAAAAGCAGCTTCTTCGACCCGGGTACTAGAATGAGAAGACACATGGAACAGATCTTCGGGCCGGTTGGCACCTGGAGCAGAGCTACAGAAACCATGCAGCTGCAACTGCCCAACAGCTGTCATGTAATGTGTCTAATGAATAAACCTTTGTGGTCATAAGTTAAGACTTGGGGTTGTTTGTTATATAGCATAGCCGTAGCAAAAGCTAACTGATACACACTATATATATGACTTGAGAAGGGAGCAGATGATGAAGAACCTTATACATCATGATTAGGAGTTGTGCCTATGAAGAGTCAACAGAGAATTTTTGTAGCTGAAAGATGAGCTTGATGATGAGCTTTCTCATCTTCGTTCATTCACGTCCGGTCTCACAGGTGAAGACATCCATCTTTCTTGCAAAGCCAGCCCTCCCCATTCCTTCCTGCTCCTCCAGCACCTTGCTCTATAGGCCACCCCTTCTCTCTCCTGCACTGAATATCTCTCACTTGTCTTTTCCATTCTAAAACTCGTTCCAGCAACCCGTCTTTCTACAATTATTGCTCATTCTTTCCCCTGCTCTTCTCAAACAAACTTTTTGCAAGACTTGATTATTCTCACCATCGCTCCTTTCTATCACCTATCAACAATCTAGCTTGCCTGCCCTCTATTCCACCAAAAGTGCTTTTGGTGTATTTCAGTAATCTTTTAATTGCACAGTGCATTTTTCAGACCTTATCTTCCTAGACTGCTCTACACCATATAGCATGGAACTAAAATCCTCTGACCCGAACAATCCTCTTTACATATTCTCTCAGCCAGTGGTACCATCATCTATCCAGTGACCCATGACAGAAAGCCAACATGAGGTAAAGAATTCTGTTCCGGACTTGAGTTTGTAGTGTCTTTGAGATATACAAGAAGAGATGTCCTATGGGCAGTTAAACGTGTGAGTTGGGGACCCAAAACCGACCTGCACTAGAGATAAAGATGATTGCTATAGAAGTAGCATGAGCTATGAGCCTGGATGAACTTGCCTAGTTTACAGAGGACAAGTACCAGGTCTTTCAATCTCAGGTAATACGGAGAACTCTCCTGAGCCAGAAATTCCTATCCCTAAGGTCACAATTTCAACCACTAGTTGGTTCCTTCCCTCCCTGCTCACGGTTCTCAGTGGCCTCCACAGCACCATCTCATTTCATATTCTGGCCCCTTCTCCAACAACTCTTAAAATTCCATCGTAAAACAGAAGGGATAAGATACCTCCACCTGGTCACTAAAATGGCAAAAACCAAAGACTGATGATACTCAGTCTTGTCAAGGATATGGAACAATCGATTACAAGCCTCTTATACTGAGGTGGGAATGGAAAACGGTATATACCCTGTGACCCAACAATTTCACTTCTAAGGGAAATAAAGGTCCACAAAAGAATTCTATAAGAAATAACAGCCCAAACTGAGAATAACCCAAATGTCCAAGAACAGAATAAGTAGGCAAATTGTGGTACATCCATACAATCAATAAAAGGAACAAACTATTCACAGATGAAACGACACAGATAAATTTAAAAAACACTATGTCCAGTGAAATGAACCAGATGTCACAGAGACATTCGTGTAATTCCAGTTACATGACATCCAAGAGTAGGTGAAATTAATCAATCGTGATAAAATCAGAAAGTGGTTACCTGGACCGGCAAAAGGAAAATTAATTGGAAATGGGAACTTCCTAGGATAATGCAAATATTTTATGTCTTGTTTTGGGAGGTGGTTACACAGGTATAAACAACTGACAAAACTTATTGAACCAAGAAAAAACCCACAACAACTTATTGATCCAAACACTTAACATTTGTAGATTTTATTGTACATAAATTATACTTTAACAATTAGAAAAAGCATTTTTAAAGTATCTGTAAAATAAACGCTAAAAAGAAAATACCAAGCAGAAAACATATTCGTTTTAAGTAAAATTATATTTATACCATGAATGTGCTATGAGCGTCGAGCCCCCCACTCAATGCGGCCTCCCCTTTCGGCCATTCTCCCTTCTTCTCCATCTTGATGACATCTGTCCATTGGCCATTTTCTAGCCATCACGAGAGATGGTATAATGGGGAGAGTACACACCTTAGAGCCAGACAGAGCTGCATTCACACTCAGCCATGATTTAAGGCCTCTCTGCATCTTCATATCCTCAACTGTGAAACGAGTTCATGATACCTACCCTACCCTACCCTACCCTACCCTGTTGGGCTGGGCTAAGGAAGGGGCAGTGTGCTGACTAGCTCCTGGGGAACCTAATTCTTTCTGACCTCAGCCTGTGAAACCAACTCACATGTGAACATACATCCCTTACAGTCCTGGAATAGCTCAGAGAAAGAGATCCACAAGCTTCTCTCCCAGAAGGGTAAGGAGGCCACTTTGGGGCTCTGGAGTCAGGTTCTAAGTGAGCTGTAAAAATGACCGCTTAGAGCCACAACAGCCAGGGACCTGCGGCTGGCCTCTGACTTAGAGGACAGCTTCCCTGATAAGGTTTGGCTATGAGAGGATTCTACCCACATCGCTTTGCACACCTCTTGACTCAGTTTCTCCAGGTTGGATCTGAAGCATCTGAGATCAAAAACAGCCTCTGGGGTTTCCCAGGATATGAAAGAGATAAGGGCAGAACCGAACTGGTTCTGCCTGAAAGTGCGGGAGGAGTCAGAGCCCAGCCCCCACTCCAGGCTCCCCTCCCCCACCATGTTGGCCCTTGAGCCAGGATCCTTGGGGCACAGTTTGAAATCCCCTGACCCAGGTAAACCTGAGAGCTTCTTTCACTCTTCCTGCTCTGCCTTATTCAGTCATCGAGCACCTGTAACTTGTAACAGCAACTGGGATCCGCACCTGCCCCCCATCTGGTAAGGGAGGCAAAGGACACCAAGAGATTAACTCCAAACAAGGTAGAACGTGCTTAGTAAGGCCAAAGCAGCACCGAAGTGCGACGGAATAACCATATCCTATTATCCTACACCCGCCCCCAACCCAAACGCTCGCGAGCCCCTCCGCGCTTGGCATTTCCTTACTCAGAGCAGTATCTTCTTTTATCCGTGGTTGTCTGGGAAAGTGTCTCCCAGCTGGGAGGCGCCAAGGCCAGGGCTATCCCCTGCACCTCCTGCCTCCTGAGACACCCCTATTTCCACGTGAATGAAAGAGGCAACGAGGCCTGCTCAGGAGCCAGAAGGGAGGTAAAAGCCAAGCGAAACCACAAAAGCAGCCGCCCGGGCCTGGGTTCCTTCCTGGGGGGAGGAGCGGCGCCGACGACCTCGGAGCCGGCCTCAGTCCCCGCGGCCAGCGGCGAGACTGGGGAATCTCGAGCCGCTCCACTCTCCCTGCGCGCTGACGTTTTTTTCCACTTCACTGTTTCTTGGACGCCTTTCAAGAGTTTGTGCAATCATTCTGTTTAGCTGTTTTCCTGCCAGTTTCAAACGTGGGGTGATGTCCCTTTCGGGTGGGAACGGAGTGGTTTGAGGAGTTGAGGGGACCCGTTCACCTCCCATCACATCAATGCAGCAGGCCCCTTTGCTGACAAAGTTACAAAGTCTGAAACTTTCCGCACGCCAGGTTTTTGGCTTGGTCCTCAGATCCGAGAGCTCTCTGACCTCCCCCTGCGCTCAAGGGTTCATGCGCCCCTCATTCTACCCACCCGAGCTCCCTCTCCCCGGAGGCATCCTCTTCCCATCTTGTCCTGGGTGACAGCAAAGCTTGCTCCCTGCCCCACAGTCGGGGACACGCTTCCCAGTGCTTTCCACACTTCCTCGGGGTTCCTCCCCGTGCCCGCTAAGCCTCCCCTCTCCAGCCCCCATCCCGAGGACCCGAGGCGTCGACCTCAGCCCGCAGCCCCTCGGGCCCGAGTCTAGAAGGCTGGGCAGAGGCAGCAACAGGGACAGGATGAGGACAGGGATGGGGTCCCATTCGGGAGGGAGCGACGAGAACAAAAGCAGGGTCACGGGCAGGGCAGAAATCGGGCAGGGCGGGAGCGGTGGCCCGCTCCTCTCTCTCTGTCGCCCCTCAGCCCCTGGGCTGGGCCCGGCTTGAGGATTCGGGGGGCTCGGGCGGCGCCCCGCGGGACCCACCTGATCCGCAGAAGCTGGACGCGCTCGGGTCTGGACCGCGCCTCGGCTCCCGGCCTCGGCGGCGCCCTCGGCTGTCGGAACAGCGGCCGCGCCGCCTCAGCCCGAGCCTGGCGTGCTGTGTCGCCTGCGCCCGGGCCAGCTGCCGGGCGCTCCTACCGGGCAGCGGGCAGAGCGCAGCGGGCAGGGGAGCGAGCGAGCGGCGCGCTCCCGGCTCCGCACTGCTCCGGGCTGTTTATGCAAAGCGGGTCCCGCCCCGGACACAGACAGTTGGGAGGCTGGCCGCGCCTGGGCGCGGGTGCTGGCGTGTGGGTGTCTAGTGGCCCGGAGGCTCGGAGGCCGAGGGGGTGTTTGTTTCATTTCACTCAGGCAGAAAAAAGCCTGAAACCAGCAAAAAAGAAAAAAAGAAAGAAAAAAAATCCCTGGTGACGTTGGCTGGGCCTTTTTGCCATCTCGGGCCTGCACGTGGTGAGGGTGGGGGTTGGAGGACCCGGAGTCAGAGGGGTGGGGTGAGGTCTGTCACCCTACAGTGCAGGGAGGGGCGTCTGTCCCCTGGCGCACCGCCACACGTGGTGAAGCAGAGCTCCTGGGAGGTCCGGGCCACCATTTGTTTCCTGAGGAAGGAAGAGCGCAGATGTAGATAGCGACGGGCCGGCGCGCTCAAGCCGCTGAGCACCGAGCCCCCCAAGTCCCGTGCTCCGGAAGTGAGGGGCTGGCCCCTGGGCACCCACTGCGGGTCCTGCCCGCCCTTCTTCACGGACTTAGCGATTTTGAGACCAGAGTTTCTCAAACGGGGCTCTCCACACTCCCTGTTCAAAGGGGAACCAAAAAAAAAATCTATTTCAGAGTTTGTTCTCCTGCGCCCAGTATGATAGTGATTCACTTGTGCTGAGTTGATGTAGGCACGTCCAACTGCTTCACTTATTTGTAATGACAACAATCGACTCACTCCCAGACTTGGGCTCACGACCATCTATGTAACTGGTGGAAATTCAAAACTTGCTTTTGCCAGGATCATTTGCCATTGAACATCAATTTCAGAGACTAGGAGATTAGTTTCTTAAATATTTTAGTACATCGGAACTGTAACAAATTACAGTAGCACAGAGTATGGGCCCGATGTATAATTTTAATTATTTCATGCTAAGGAGAAAAGAACAGAGGTCTGATTGAATACTTGAAGGATGCACAGAGGCTGCATCTTTGTGCTTGGGAGACCGAAGTTTCCTGATAAGCCCAGTGGGGTAAAGTGGTGGGAGAATTGAATTATCATCCCTACATTGCACCTCAGGAATGAGGAGCTTGATAGCAATCAGCACAATGGGTCCTTTGCTAGAGCATAAATTGTGCCGTTATTGTATTTGGTGAACACACTTGTAATAGTGGATTAGTAGTGAGTATCACAGTAAATGTACAATGAGCGATGTCATACTAAGTGCAGTATTTCCCATTTCTAATTACTGCATTTGAGAATGCATCGTTTAGATTTTTCCATATATCGAACCGGATGATAAATGAGGTTTTTTGGTTTTTGTTTTTTGTTTTTTTAAGGAAACAATGACAGTAACTCTGATGGTGACTCAAGTGATGGTTCATCATTTTCTACATCAAATATGATGACTGTGGACAAAAAAGAGGCCACATACTAAACCTGACAAGCTCAGGAGAGGCCTGCATGGCGGGCCTTACAAACTCAGAGGCCAAAGACAATCACATAGGATGATTTGAACATAAGAATTCCTGACTAGAAGCTAGTCACTGTGAGTGGTCATATCTTAGGTTCCTAGCTTGCTTAGCAAAGGTCAATCTTTACCTTAAGTGAGCCTGTCTATTGTTTTGTGTGTGTGTGTGTGTGTTTTGTTTTCATTTTTGTATCTAAGATAACATACCTTTGAAATATCAGAGCAATCTTTTCCAGACCCCTCAGGGCACAACCCACAGGCACCAGAGCAGAGACCACAGAACCGCTGGTGGTTGTCTCGTCCCCCACATACCACCTGTATGTGCCCTAAGTGTTCATTCTTCACTGTCCTGTACCCACCGATGTAAAAGAAGTATGTGTCTCTCCATTTTACTTTTTATCCAGCACCAGAGATTTCCCTCCACTGCTGCTTTGCTTTCTTCCTCCCAGTTAATTTACCACCAATGGATTTCATGGAACTCTCCTTATGTCTCCTCCTTTTATTCTAATATATAAAATAAACTAAAAAATTACCATGCTCCAGAGCATCTTCTCAATCCCTTGAGATCTTCCTTCCCGGCAATTGTCATCAGTTTGGCTCAAGGAAACTCATAAAAATTCTCTATAGGTTTAGACGTTTCTTACGTAGACATGACGGAGGAAACAAAACATGTAAAAACATTTCTCTGCTCCCGTTAAACCCGATGTCAGAGACTCAATCTCAACAACACATGACCAGTCACAGTAATTCGATGTTGTGAATTTGGACTTTATTGGTTTTGTGGTTGTATTTGCATTAGGAGATTCGTTTTGGTTTTAAGGTTAGTTTTATGTAGTTATGAGTATGAAGACTTCATGCTTAATTTTAGGCTTATACCTATTTCAGTAACGATAAGAATAATTTAAGTCAACGCTGTGGGTCTAGAAGTTCTTTTGTTTTGTTTTGTTTTGACAGGAGCCATAGAGTTCTCAAAATCTAATTAGCTGTTCTACTGACTGAAATGTCTAAGCCGGAAAGCACCTTAAAGATTACATACATTGGGTCTGGTGTCAGGACTTAAGGGTTTAAGGCCTTAGATGAGTCATTTCTTCTCTGGGACTCATTTGCCTCATATGCAAACTAGGGATAAGGTTGACTATCTTCTGGTAGAAGTAAAATCAGAACAAGATAACTTTGGAGCCCGCAGTCACAGGAGTCTGAATATTCATGGAGAGGACAGGTAGGTCAGTTAATACAAGGAGCTCTGGCCACTGGACAGGCTTTGCTCCAAGCAGGGTCACACAGAACCGAGCTCACTTAATTAATCCTCAGCACAACCTAATCGCATCCCCACTTTCCAGGAAAGAAGGCTGAGGCACAGGCAAGTTAAATAGCTTTGTTTACGTCTCTCTAGGTATGGCCAAAGTGCTCAGGGCCAGAAGACTTTCCTCCCTGTAGCTTCTTCACTCTTTTTACAAATATTTATTGGGATCCTGCCCGGTTCTTCAAGCTAAGGACACAAAGGCAAACAAAAGAGACAGCCTCATACGTAGCCCTGGAGGAGTCCGCAGCCCAGAGGTTAAAGCAAGAGCAACCTAATGAATGATTTCAGGACAATGGATTGGGGCTCTGAGGGAGAAATACGGGGTCCAGAGGACCCTGCAATGGGAAGAAGGAGGAATTCACTGGTGAAAAGTTGGGAGAGAGTGACTCAAGCGGAGCCCTGTAGAAAAGCCTTGAGATGGAGGGTAAAGACCCATGTGTGTGTACATGGTGTTGGCACGCATGCTGGAAAGCTTCAATGTCATAAAGATAGCAATTCTCCTCCAGTCAACCTATAAATTCAAAACAAAACCCAACAGTTTTTGTGGAACTTAATGAGCATCTCCTAAAATCCATATGGAAGAGCAAAGGGCCAAATTTAATGAAGCCGGTTTTGACAAAGCAGGCAGGAGAGAGTTGGACACTTGCTCAGCCGGCCATCAAGATGTACCATGAAGCTCTAACAATGAACTCTGCAGTGTAGTGTTGGTGCCGGCATAGATTATTAGGCCAGTGGAACAGAATAAGGAGCCTAGAAAGAGACTCACACATATGTGGAAAGTCAAGGTCGGACAGAGGTGGAACTGCAGACCAGAACAGCCTGTTCGGAAAGTGTTGCTGGACGCCGAAGGATTGGAAACAGGTGTGCAAACAGAAACTTGTACAGCAATGTTTATAGAATCAAGAGCCAAAAAAGTGGTACCAACCCCGATGTTCGCGAACTGATGAATAGATAAGCAGATGTGATACATCCACGCAGTAGAATATTATTTGGCATAAAAAGGAATGAAATACCGACCCTTGAAAACAGTGTAAGTGAAAATAGCCAGACACAAAAGGCCATGTATTGTATGATTCGATTTATATGGAATATCCAAAATCGGCACATTCATAGAGACAAAAAGCAAAGCAGTTGCCAGGGGTGAGGGGAAGGCGAGTGGGGGTGACTGCTTAAAGGTACACGCTTTTCTTTCAGGGTGATAGAAGATGCCCTGGAACTAATAGGGGTGATGGTCGAGCAACACTGTGAATGTACTAATTGTACACTTCAAAGTGGCTTAACTATTTTAAATGTAAATTTTGTTATGTGAAGTTTACCAGAATTTTAAAAAAAAAAAAAAAAAAAGTGTTTCTGGGCAATTGGCTGTCCATACAAAAAGTAAAATGAAATTTGATTCCTGGCACACACACCCCCCCACACACAAACATACGCACACCCCACATCATAGATAAGTAAATGACCTAAAGGAAAAGAGAAACTTTTTTATTCAGATGGGGGAGTGATTTTCTTAAAATCACAAATCAGGAATTTTTCAGAGCAAGAGTTTCATTCATTCCCAGCTCTCTCTCACTTACTCCTCAGCCCCAGACAGATGGGGAAACTCCCAGGTCCAGAGCGGGAAGGTGTTTTACAGTAGCTACCAGAAGTGGTAGAGTAAGTCGGGGAAAGCAGAAGTCAAATGTGAGAGCTGAGTCTCAGAGGAAGTGGGGATGAGCAGAAAGCACCTGGGAGGAGGCAGCAGGCAGGGAGAGCTGCCCGCGCCAACGCACAGAGGACGGGACAGACAAGGGCCACGAAGGAGGGCACAGGGCCATCAGCCCTGGGGCTCAAGGAGCCAAGGCAGAGTCAGAGCACAGAGGCTTTGATGGAGAAGACCAGGGATGGGCGTTTTGTCCTTTCCGTAGAAGGGGCCTCTGGTGGACCCCTGAGAAGGGAGGGGAGCAGGATGGAGATTGTGTTTGAAGGGATAACCCCCACCCCTGCTATCACAGTCGCCACTGA